TTTCAGACAGGTACTCATGACAAGCACTTCTTGCTCCGTCCTTGCAGGCACTACTAAGGGGGTTGTGCCCGCGTACTTCAGTGCCCCAAGCGGTAGCTCAGAGGTGTCCCTTTTAGCGCTCTCAATTTTCCTATAGGCTTCAGCACAAAGCGTATGGATCATCAGGGTATTCAGGTATTGGTCCCCAGCCCGCCTTCTGCAGTAATCCGCGAGTACCTTGAAGAGACTGGAGTTGGTCCCTATCAGCACAGACACATCAGAAGTCCCTTTAGGGTCAGGGCATATTAAGGCAGCTGTGTCTACCTCTTCTCTTACCCCAGCAACCTCCTCTGGGAATTCCAGGTGCACTATGACATACCCTTGGTAGGGGTATTCATCCATGCTGAGGCCACACAGGCCAAGGCCAGTCAGTGGCTGTATAGGCAGGTGCCTAAGCATCTGTTGGTAGAATGACTGAAATATAATAGTCACTTGAGATCCAGTGTCAAGCACTGCTTTACACTCCACCCCTTCGATCCTCACCATGACCTCTGCTCGAGGCCCTATCAGTCCTGCAGGGATCCCAGCTGGACAGTCTTTTCTGGGGGAATTTTCAAATCCTGCAGACCTGGGGGGTCCCCGTCCCCAGACCGTCTGGCAGCTACCGGATCTCTCCCAACTGATCCTCAGCTTTCCATACACTAAGGAGGGATTTTCTTCATTACGGCACTTGGCAGCACTGTGTCCATCCTGACCACATCGGTAGCAGAAGAATTGACCTTTCCTCCTTCGCCTGGGGGGGATGGTTGCTCTAAGTGCGGGCTTCTCAATCGCCACAGTTTGAGGCTTCTTATTCCTGGAAGTCTTAACTCGGTCAACGGTACTTTGCAGCTCAGCTATCCGTTCCGTCAGGACCTGCATTTGTTGGGCAAGTTCCTCTCTGGTGCTCAACATCAGTACACTGGTCGTTTGCAGTGGTGTTGTGCTGCCTGGCTCCGATGTTTGGGCTTCCCAAAACTCACTGGCAGCCTGCCTTTCTTCCTCCTCTCGGACCTCTTTTATCAGCTGGGAGTAACTTGGGGGACGTTCCCGTCGTTCTCTTAGCTGGAGATGAAGTAGAATCGGGTTCTGATACTGAGTTCCTCTTACAGTTTGAGCCAGTCTGGTCTGATCCATCTGCTCAGCAGTCACTGCTCCCCTCATGACAGCTCTCTGAAGCAGTCTCTCCAGTCTCTGTATGTAGGCTGAAGCCTTCTCGCCCTTTTGTTGTTGGGAATTAAGGAACTTACAGTAGCTGTCTTCAGGGCCCTCTACGCTCCCAAAGTTGTGTTCAAGGGCCTCTAGGCAGTCCTTCACACTGACCCCAGGGTCAATGAGCTTCAGGGTGCGAATCACATCTAATGCTGGGCCGCCAAGGCTCTCTATAAGGCATCTTCGCTTTTCTGCATCTGGTACGGCCCACTCTTGCAGCATTTCAGTGGTATGCTCTAACCAGGGTTCAAACTCCTCCTCCCCAGCAAATAATCTTAACTTATGACAAGAGTCTGACTCAGCATGGGGCAGCACAACCTTTTCCAATATTTGCCCCAGAGCTTTTGTCCAATCATCAGCCGAGGCTGCAGCCTCTGAGCTAGAAGCTGCTGAGCCAGGGCCCAACAAACCTGACATATTAGCCATTATACAAACAGTAATTTCCTCAAAATATAAGCACAAACAAAAAAAATATATAAATTGTTTCCCAATGTAGTGGATCACTCAACAGGTGCTTGCGAGGGGTACTGACCCAGGCGATCCCGGACGAGCTCCCCAAAATGTAACCCTTCTGCCCGTCAGAGTTGGCAGCAGCAAGGGCCGGGTTCAATATCTAGGGGATCCATTCCAATAACACAATGCAAACCGGCTCGAGCCCCCACCCAGTGACCTGGGACAAATATATACCACCCCCGCTGGGCGCCTCCAAGAGGAAATACTTCCCCTCTCGCAAGCACATAGTCTGAGTGTAGCAAAAGCCTTTTAATAACAGAGAGAAACAATGTGGCATTATGTTTGGGAAACACCACCAACAGGATTCATAACAAAACCCATGAGCAAAAACCCACCCCAAGCAAATTGGGGCATGCCCTTTTCCCTTTGGTTCTTGAGTCCAGCAACCCCAAATCACTCAAAGTCCCAAAAGTCCAATGCCCCAAAAGTCTCTGTCCCTGGTCAGGGCCGCCCCAGAGTTCGAAAGTTTATCTGCGGAGCTTTACCTCCCAACCTGGGTGGAAATGGGACGGGGGGTAAGAGGCACCTTACATGATCTGAAGCTGACCGCCCCACGAACTCCTTCACTCAGCTGCGCTCCGCTCCGCCAGCCGCCCCACGAACTCCTTCGGCTCAGCTGCGCTCCGCTCCGCCAGCCGCCCCAAACTCCTCGCCGCCGCCCGCTCCGACCCCCACGAACTCTGCTCGGCTCGCTCCGCCAGCCCCCACAAACTCCTTCGCTCGGCTGCGCTCCGCTCCGCCAGCCGCCCCACGAACTCCTTCGCTCAGCTCCATGGCCCACAAGCAGCTCCTGCCATCCACAAACTGCTCCACCAGCCCCCGCAAGGTACTCCAGCCGGCCCGCCAACTGCTCCACAATATATCTTCCGGCTCCCCCACTACTTAACACAACACTCAGTGATTTCAGCTCTTAGGTGAATTCAGCTTGTAGTAGGGGGAGCCCCAGTGCTGGTGCACTGTCAGCCCAAAATGAGCTCAGCAGCCTATAACTAGACTTCTAATGAAATCAAAATTAGCTCTGATATTCCACAGTGGAGAGAGGAGGAAGTGCAATTAGCATGTAAGGCCCTCACCAAGGGGCCCATGCCACCAAGTATTAGTACTTGTCCCCAGCCTCTCTCTATTCACACAGTTTTGGAACCCATGACCCTTGCCTAGCGAGTGCTACTTAGTTGATGGTGAATCCCTCCATCATAACAAAAGGCCACGTACAGTTCCAAGCACAGTTCCCATAATCAGGGTAATAACAATTTATTCTTCCTGCCCCAATAACAGAGACACTGGGGATCCCACAGCAGCCAAAGTGACCATTTGGGCAGCTATGGTCTCATTCTAGGCGGGGTGGGTGTGCCTATGCAAATGAGATTGGCCCCTGAAGTTCTTTTCCACAACTTGCCACACCTCACCACCAGATGTCAGGGTGGAGCTCATCCTGACACTGCTTACACTTCTGCTCACCCTGACTCTCAAACTCTTCCCTTCAAGGCGGTGTGCTCCGGGGGGGTCCCCCCCCCCCTTCTTTGCTGTTTGCGAAACCCCGGCCCCCCCCCGGCGGTGGGCGCCCCCCCCCCCCCCCGGGGGGGGGTGGGGGGGGGCGGGGGGGGGGGGCCCCCCCCGGGGGGGGGGGGGCTCCCCTGGGGTGGGGGGGGGGGGCCCCCCCCCCGGGGGGGGGGGGGGGGGGCCCCCCCGGGAACATAAAAAGAGAGGTTAAATGAGATAAACTGACACCATTTAAGTCCTTAAGGGACAGACTTTCAAAGCAAAGCACATGCAATTATATGCATCAGTTAGGAATGCAGTACTTATAAGTACTTCGTGGGTATTTGGCCAAATTGAGTATATAACTAGCTGTGTAAATACCTTGATCAAAATTGGCACACATGCTTTAACCATGTATTTGCAACTGTTGGGTCAGCTTCACTTTGAAAATCTGGTGCTAAAACGTAAGTAGACAGAATAAGTAAGCAGACAGGGTTCAAAAAAGAACTAGATACATTCATGGAGGATAGGTCCATCAATGGCTATTAGCCAGGATGGGAAGGGATGGTGTCCCTAGCCTCTGTTTGCCAGAAGCTGGGAATGCGCAACAGAGGATAGATCACTTGATGATTACCCTGTTCTGTTCATTCCCTGGCATTGGTCACTGTCAGAAGACAGGACACTGGGCTAGATGGACCTTTGGTCTGACTCAGTATGACCGCTCTTATGTTCTTATTGTTTTCTCTTCCTGTTTAAAATCAATGGGGAAAATGAAAAGGGGAATTTATTTTACATACTTAATATAGACATTGCTCATTTGCATAATTGTGCCACTTTCCCCCTTCATCTGCTCTTTAGTGCAACCTTTAAAAAGATGGGAGAGTAATTTGTAAATAGGTTATTGTATTATAGAATGAAAAAAATTCCCATTACTTCTCCTATGTATCAGTAAACAAGCAAGCATGTGTTTAGTATCCAGAAGGTGGAACTCCCCTGCTGGGTTGCAGTACAAACAGGTCACTTTCTGTAGTGCAATATTTAACCTGGAAAGAAAGGGGCATCTTTTTGCTTAAAAAGAAAAGGATCAGTTCTAACAAACCCCAGCATATTCTTTACAAAAAGTCATAATACTGCCTCTCCCACACAAAGTTCATGAAGTAACTTAAAAATATCAACTAGTTGAGCTTCTCAGCCCAGCTGTAAGATAAAAATTGTCCCTATTTTACAGTATAAGTGCCTAGGGATTAGGAAACCTAGGTTCTAACTCCCATAGGTTTGTGTGTTAACAGTTAGATGGTATTTTCTCTCTCCTCTTAGGGCTAAAGAGATTCAATGAGCAATCAATACATTGGTCATTCACCTCTGGAGTCCTGGATTCAAATCCTGCCTTTGGTCAAAAATGAAGAAGAGTTTGCTGCACACAATCTAGTCCTTATGGATTTGTCTACATCATGTAACCATGGACAGTCTCATAGCAACCAAGGACCCCAATTCTACTCCCATTGAATTTAATACATGCTTTGCCACTGAATTCAAAAGGGAGCAGAGTTGGACAGTGCTGCAGCCAGGATCACGTGTGGGTACTCACAGGGCATCTGACCCTAGCCCAATTATTCCATCAAAATGAATACAAACAGCACTGCTTGGAAAATCTGAAGCAGCTTTACATAAGATTAAATAATAAAAATCAATAATATAGGGGCTACTGCTCTGGTTGTATGGTTTCTATTTAATGCAATGAACCGTTCTCCATTTTTAGCTGCCTCTTTATTTTCAATATGCCAATACATTTTGCACTGACAGCACGGAACTGCACCATAAAAATTTCATGGAGCAAAGCTGGAGATGTTACAGCCGTGTAAGACACAACTGGGACTTTTACAACCGGAGAAGTTGTTGGAAGCAGCTTGAGATAAGCACATTAGCTAGACGTTTCTGCCAAAATCAGGCCAATAGTCAGTAGAAAAACCACTTGCCTCAAAAGTAATAGTTTCCACTGAGAAACTACACAAGCAAATAATGATAGAGAAATATTAAGTATAAAATAAGGTTTTGAATTTGAGTTTACCCAATAAGTCGGGCTTCCTGGTGAGCCACGGCCTGGCTTGTTGCCAATCAGCAGATGAACATCTGCCCTTGTTCAGGGTGTGATGATTAAAATTAAAATGTTTGCTTATTAAAATAGTGTCTCTCTTTAAAAAAAAAAAGAAAGGAATGGGTCAAAGGAAGCCACAGCTTTCTGAGATTTAGTCAGAACAAAGCTCTGACAAAATCCAGGACTTATGAACAAATGCTAAGTGAGTAAGTGCAATAAGAGACGTAGAGACATCATACCTAACAACAATTGCCAAGACCCTGGTAACTACTGCTGAGGAGTCGTATCCCCATTTTACAGCTTGGGCTGGCTGCTCGAAGGATAGGCCCTGTTGTTACTGGTTATTTCTGAATCTGTCCATCAGAATTTTAAGCAGCAAACCCTGTTTTTCCAGATCCAATCTCCGTGGCTGGCTATTCACAGCCTATCCTCATGCTCTTGCATCTGTAGGCCATCCCGCCTCAGTCTCCCCTGTAGCCCACAAGTGAGTTCTTCTCACGCTTTCTTCCTCCACAGCTTGTCAACGGGCTCCAGTGCTGGCCCCTCTTGTTCCGCTTCCACGGAGTACAATGGTGGAAGCACCGAGACGGAACTTCCCCGGTACAGGACTTTTCTGCATCTGTAGGAGGCCAGCAGATGGCACAGAGGAAGAGAAATAGAGTGCAGCTGGAATGCACAGTGTTACCTTCTAGTCTATCATATCACAGCTCTGCAGCCACCACGTGCCCAGACATAAGACACAGAACTTCTGTGGTTCAGCTACCTTGAAGCACTCTTAACGCCTTTCTGCATGTGAATAGTCCCAGGACTGAGGCCTAATTCTCTTCTGTCTTATCTGGTTCACTGCACCACGCTAGCTCCCTCACAGTAAAAAATACACCTAATTCCTGTGACAAAGTCGGGCTGGGCAGCTGCAGGAGGGTCAGGAAAACAGGTGTGTTAGCCCTAGAATGCTCAAGGCCCTTTTTCCTACAAGCTGGGAAGGGGTTACTTCAGGTCAATTAGGGACACCTGAGTCCAGTTAAGGGCTGCCTGAAACCTGTTAAAACCTCTCTCCTGGTGGGGTGAGTGGGGGACAGACACAAACTGCTGCAAGGCTGGAGGCAGCTGGGAGATAGGCTTCTCCAATGTGAGAGACTTGCACTCCTCCCCATAGGGGAGACACCCAAACCCAGCACCTGTTTAGGGGAAGGACTGACACCCCAGGGCCAGTGACAGGACAACACCTGCCCTAGTGAGGGGCCAGGGAAAGGTATTCCCTTTTTTTGGTGTGTTATAGACTTTGTTTGGCAGAGGAGCACTCCTCAGGCCTGCCCCAAGGCCAACCGGGAAGGTTCTGAGAAACAAACCCCGAAGAGGGAAGACAGACACGCTCCAGAGTGAGGCTGATTTACCCCAGGCCTGGTCCCTGCCAGAGGAGGGAGCGCTAGGTCTAACAAGGCAGAAGGGGTGCCACGCCACATTCCCAATTCCAAATTTGCATATGCTCTTGTGATAGTATAACCCCTAATGCCCAGAACATTTACCTCTTAAGAGGAAGGAATCAGAGAAGACCAGGAAAGAAACTTAAAAAAAAAAAAAGAGAAGAATTTGTTTCCGTATACTACAGGACTCTGAACAGAAAATTCCATTGTAAAGGCTAATCTCCTGCAAGTTCCCCTTTTTGGGTGGCAATAAAAAGAAGAGTCATTCAAGCTGCATTCAGTGACCTTGTCTAAGAGAGGCCAAGATGAAGAACCTGGCAGTAGTCCTGGCAATAGCCCTGATGGTAACTGACCTCCCTACACTGACTGGTGAGTAACTTTTCCCCTTAGAACTTCACTCTCTTGTATAATTTGCTTTTAAAAGGATGTAATGTTCACCATGAACCTGTCAATAAGCCCTATAAGCCATGACTCTCCTTTTGGCTTGGGCGCTATTCCTACCCCTCGATTAGTAAGACCCTGATTCAGAACGTTGAACTGTGTAGGCAGATTCTCATACCCATGCACGGATCCAGAGAGTTCTGCCTGTCACGCCACGGACAGCTCCATTTCAGTGTGTGGGGGTATGCAGGACTGGAGCCTATACTTGTATTCCTTTTTACATTACATTGTGTTATAGTGGAATATACAAACCAGTAAATAGAACTATCTACACACACACTATTTATAGTGCTTTATAGTCCAAACCCATGTACAGTACTCCCTGTTTTGCTTTTCTCCTTATAATATCCAAATCAAACATCTTTGAAAATATGAATGCAACACTGCAAATGAGACTGAGCATGCTGTATTTTTTAATTCACCAGTTTTAAATGTTAGTTACAATGAAACTATGTTAGATTATGATTTCTTTAAATGGCTGAGAAATTAAGGACAGGAATATTCATTCTATTCAGCACAGCTTAAGTGTCTTTTTGTAACTTAAGGTTTTGCCTAGAGGGATTCTCTATGTTTTGAATCATAGAATCATAGAATCATAGAATATAAGGGTTGGAAGGGACCCCAGAAGGTCATCTAGTCCAACCCCCTGCTCGAAGCAGGACCAATTCCCAGTTAAATCATCCCAGCCAGGGCTTTGTCAAGCCTGACCTTAAAAACCTCTAAGGAAGGAGATTCTACCACCTCCCTAGGTAACGCATTCCAGTGTTTCACCACCCTCTTAGTGAAAAAGTTTTTCCTAATATCCAATCTAAACCTCCCCCACTGCAGCTTGAGACCATTACTCCTCGTTCTGTCATCTGATACCATTGAGAACAGTCTAGAGCCATCCTCTTTGGAACCCCCTTTCAGGTAGTTGAAAGCAGCTATCAAATCCCCCCTCATTCTTCTCTTCTGCAGGCTAAACAATCCCAGCTCCCTCAGCCTCTCCTCATAACTCATGTGTTCCAGACCCCTAATCATTTTTGTTGCCCTTCGCTGGACTCTCTCCAATTTATCCACATCCTTCTTGAAGTGTGGGGCCCAAAACTGGACACAGTACTCCAGATGAGGCCTCACCAATGTCGAATAGAGGGGAACGATCACGTCCCTCGATCTGCTCGCTATGCCCCTACTTATACATCCCAAAATGCCATTGGCCTTCTTGGCAACAAGGGCACACTGCTGACTCATATCCAGCTTCTCGTCCACTGTCACCCCTAGGTCCTTTTCCGCAGAACTGCTGCCTAGCCATTCGGTCCCTAGTCTGTAGCTGTGCATTGGGTTCTTCCATCCTAAGTGCAGGACCCTGCACTTATCCTTATTGAACCTCATCAGATTTCTTTTGGCCCAATCCTCCAATTTGTCTAGGTCCTTCTGTATCCTATCCCTCCCCTCCAGCGTATCTACCACTCCTCCCAGTTTAGTATCATCCGCAAATTTGCTGAGAGTGCAATCCACACCATCCTCCAGATCATTTATGAAGATATTGAACAAAACCGGCCCCAGGACCGACCCTTGGGGCACTCCACTTGATACCGGCTGCCAACTAGACATGGAGCCATTGATAACTACCCGTTGAGCCCGACAATCTAGCCAGCTTTCTACCCACCTTGTAGTGCATTCATCCAGCCCATACTTCCTTAACTTGCTGACAAGAATACTGTGGGAGACCGTGTCAAAAGCTTTGCTAAAGTCAAGAAACAATACATCCACTGCTTTCCCTTCATCCACAGAACCAGTAATCTCATCATAGAAGGCGATTAGATTAGTCAGGCATGACCTTCCCTTGGTGAATCCATGCTGGCTGTTCCTGATCACTTTCCTCTCATGCAAGTGCTTCAGGATTGATTCTTTGAGGACCTGCTCCATGATTTTTCCAGGGACTGAAGTGAGGCTGACTGGCCTGTAGTTCCCAGGATCCTCCTTCTTCCCTTTTTTAAAGATTGGCACTACATTAGCCTTTTTCCAGTCATCCGGGACTTCCCCGGTTCGCCACGAGTTTTCAAAGATAATGGCCAATGGCTCTGCAATCACAGCCGCCAGTTCCTTCAGCACTCTCGGATGCAACTCGTCCGGCCCCATGGACTTGTGCACGTCCAGCTTTTCTAAATAGTCCCTAACCACCTCTATCTCCACAGAGGGCTGTCCATCTCTTCTCCATTTTGTGATGCCCAGCGTAGCAGTCTGGGAGCTAACCTTGTTAGTGGTTAGTGGTAATCTAATTACCCTGTAAGATATTTACCATCCTGATTTTACAGAGGTGATTCTTTTTTACTTTTTACTTCTATTAAAATCCTTCTTTTCAGAAACTGAATGCTTTTTCATTGTTCTTAAGATCCAAGGGTTTGGGTCTGTGGTCACCTATGCAAATTGGTGAGGATTTTTTTTACCAAACCTTCCCCAGGAAGTGGGGTGCAGGGGTTGGGAGGATTTTGGGGGGGAAAGACGTTTCCAAACAATGCTTTCCTAATAAATAAACCCAGATAAACGTTGGGTGGTGGCAGTGGAAGTCCAAGGGCAAAGGGTAAAATAGTTTGTACCTTGGGGAAGTTTTAACCTAAGCTGGTAAAAGTAAGCTTAGGAGGTTTTCATGCAGGTCCCCACATCTGTACCCGAGAGTTCAGAGCGGGGAAGGAACTAATTTACCATCCAGATTCAACGCATCCGATGAAGTGAGCTGTAGCTCATGAAAGCTTATGCCCAAATAAATTGGTTAGTTTCTAAGGTGCCACAAGTACTCCTTTTCTTTTTGCGAATACAGACTAAGACGGCTGCTACTCTGAAAAATGAAACTATAGTTTGACGTAACTTGGCAAGAGGCTTGTGATTTCTCATATGGGGAGTGAATTAATATTTATCTCTCGTGCCTCGTATAGTAATTCTTCCTCTCTACAACTCTAGGCAGGGAGAGATTATTGCTTCATTTTGGTTCACCAGTACTGCCACATGTTTTTTACCCTCTTGACTGGGTAAAATGAGATTAAGAAGCTTCCACCCAGCCCCTTTAAAATTACACAATTCTGTTTCTGATCAAATTTGTCTTAACCATTTTTTGCTAGTGACTTTGAATAAGAAACTTAATATGACCATTTATTAATTACATGCAGCAGTCTGGAAGTCAGCTGGCAACTCAAATCATTTTACTGGTGAAACAGATGTCAAAACATTCAGTTTTAATATCTACTGTGTAGCATCACCACAGAAACTGTGGCCCTTGATGTTTGGTTTTCTTACCTGGAACTGTAAAGTAAGAGTTGGGGGTTGATATCTGCTACTACTAAAGCCAATTGGAGTTTTGCCATTGAGTCCCATGTGAGCAGGATTGGACCTGTAATGATATTGGAAAAATTAACCTACTGCATGCTAAGCAGGGGTACCTAATTAGTCAAAGAAAATATCAAGGCATCAGTAAAATTGACCCTGATCCTGCAAAAACTTAAACACATGCCTATCTTTATGCACCGTGAGTCGTAGACTTCATTGAAGTCAATGGCACTGCTAACAGTATGTTAAGTTAAGCATGTGCATATACCTTTGTGGGATTGGCACTGTTGACAATACTTTAAATCCCCAAACACTGACCACCCCCTCCCATCCTTTCTTGCAGTTGTCTTTTACACTCTGTCACTTCACTGCAATAACATTGCAAAAGGAATTATTACTGTAACAGGTTTCAGAGTATTACTGTAACAATTATTCTTTTATTATACTTTTTAAGGTACCAATCACTTATTTTGTACATAATGGTAGAACTAACGGACTGTGTAAAACATTGGGTAAATTTTCAAAAGTGCTCATATTCAAAAGTGACTTAAGTACTTGAGAGACTAGTTCCCATTGAGTTTCATCTCCTAATTGCCTAATTCGTTAAAAATGGCCCTTAGCTTCTGAAATAAAAACCCTTACTACTGAAAATTAAAATGAACATTTAAAGTAATATTACATGGAAGGTTATTATGTCTTGGTTAAACTTAACATAATTTAACTCAAACGTGGAAAAGTCTGTTAGAACAAAACCAAAGATTTTTTGGCTGAACCAAAAGGCAAACATTTTCATTATAAAAAGAATCCAACTCCTAGAATAGAAGGAAAACGTTAGAGCCTGTTTATTTTGGGGAGAGCAGGATAGTGGGTAAAATTTTCAAGAGTCCCTTTTTCAGAAGCAGCTTAAAAACTTAGAAGACTAATTTCCACTTAAATAGGTCTGGTCTATACTTAAAATTTAGATCAACCTAGCTACGAAAAACTCACACTCCTGAATGCCATAGTTATGGCAATCTAACCCCCAATGAGATGCGGCTAGGGCAATGGAAAAACGTTTGTGTTGACCTTTCTACTGCCGTTCACAGAGATGGATTACCTACGTTGACGGAAAACCCCGTCTGTCGACGTAGGAAGCATCGATGCGATGACATGGTACCAGCATAATTGTAGCACTGCAGCTGCAGGGTAGATGCCTTTAGGCTCCACATTTCAGCATCTATCTCCAATTTTAACGTTCTTCCAAACTAGTTACCTCCAAAGATATCTCACTTCTGTAATTACAGTACAGTGTAATAGACGGGCTTGAAGGAAACCTTCACTGCTTCTTCCACCTTTTAACGTCTTTGTCCCCAGTCCTGTAAGTTACTCCCTGCAGGCAGACTCCTGTACCCATGTGGAGTCACTCACAGGATCGGGGCATTTGTTAGTTTACATCTGAACTGAACAGGTCTGATCCTGAAACTGATTGCACGTGGGTCGGCTACTGGGCCTCTGTGAAACCCCGCTGATGTCCATGGAGCTCCATGAGCCCCAGCAGTCCTTCCACACAGCCCTGTAATGGGCATAGAATAAATGTATTATTCCATGGGCATAGAATAAATGTATTATTCCATGGGCATAGAATAAATGTATTATTAATTACTTGTATTGTGGTAGAGTCTAGAAGTCAGGGCACCAATGTGCTAGGCACTGTATAAGCAAAGAGCTAGATTATGAACTTTTTAGGGCAGGGACTAAGTTTAAGACTGTAGACAACAGATAAATACAAACAAACCAACCTGCGGCATAAGGAAATGATGAAATGATATTAGTGAGCATGATAAATGGTGCTCATAGCATATGAGTTTCCTAACCATTGTAAAGTGTTCTGCAGGTATCACAAAAGAGAGAGAGTTTGAAGGAGGGCATCAACATACCCTCAATTCCCATTCCGCTTTCCCTCACACGGCTATGGCTCATAGTCAAAAAGACAGTGATGTAAATTCAACAGTTATTTTCATTAGTGTTTATTCGTTTTGAGGCTAGGTTATTTTTGATGTGCTCTCTGTAGTAGCTTAGAATGGGTTTGGGCCTTGGCAATTTTTGGCTAACAGAGACAAATAGATCGTTTTGTTCAACGCTTCCTGTTGCAGGTCTACCAATGGAAAGCCTTCTACTCAACCGGAGATGCAGATGCCGCAAGCAAACCTCAGAGGTTATCAGTGCTTGGAAGATTAGTTTTATTGAGGTGATTCCTCAGGGGATTCAGTGTAGAAGAAAGGAGATTATGTAAGTGGGAACTCCAATGACCCTCAATTTATGCAATTTCTTTTGTCATTCATTTACTGAGTAGTTTGCGTGATCAGTTTTCTATCCAGGGGTTGTTTATACATGTCCTGGCTCAGCTCTTGAGATCCTGCCAGACCTCTTGCAGATTAACTAACAGATTCCACTGAATCTGAGACCTCTATGCAAGAAGAGGCAAGAATTGCCCCTAGCAAGGATGTGAAATGCCTCTATTCACTTTAATGGGGTGTGACCTCTGAATCCTCACTGGCCTCGTCTAAACTAAGGAAAGGTGCATTTTAAAATGTGTTAGGTCTTGTTTCTGTGACATCTGCCATCTTGGCCAACGTACCAGATACTGAACTGGGGACCTCCAGAGGTAAACACATGAGTCTCTACAGCATGAGCTAAAATGCCAGATTTTGTAGCTAGGGGCCATAATGAACTCGCACTGACCACTGGATTACCTCTACAGACACAAGTTGCACTGCTGTCACTAAAATAGTGTAAGCCTGATTTAGTTGAATCCAGTGCAAGTCTGTGTGTACTTTTACAAGACACACTTATAATCAATTTAAAACTGGTTATACCAGTATGACTTAGCTGTAAATGTACTGAGGTAAGTTAAACTGACGAGCCATATTTACATCCAGTTATCCACAGAGCGGTTTGCACCAGTTTAAAATAACGCTATTTTAAACTTTTTTTATTTTATTTATTTTTTTATTTTGAAATGCAAAAAACCCAGCACCTATCCGCCCCCATAAGGCAAGCCTGCCACAACCACAAAGCAACTCCGCTACCCACCCCCAACCTCTTCTCACCCTTGTGTGACTCTCGTTCTCTCTCACACACACATGCCGTGCACTCGCATGTTGGTGGGCAAACAGCTGTTGTAGTTCAATAGTTTTGATCTGTTATCTCAAAGTGCGAACGCTGCAGAATCTTTAGCTGGCCACAGAAACTCTTATCAATCGATATCCCAGTGCATTGTGGTGATAATGCAGATCTTTAGACTCATGGGAAAAACAAAACAAAAAACAAACCCGGCAGATGAATTTATTTTTCTGGCAACTGTCAAATCCATTTAAAAAACAGCCCCAATCCTGTGAGTTACTCCATGCGGGTACAGGAGTCAAATAACCAACCTCTGCCCTGTGTTCAGGGGACCTGGGGCCCAGCTCCGTAGCTCAGGGGGTGAGGTAACCCTAAATTGCATCTTTAGTTAAACTGGCACAGTGTGGGCCTGGTACACCCTCGAGAGTTGTAACAGATACAGCTATTTCAGTTAAGGGGTGTGATTTATATTTTTTTTTAACTGAAATAGTTTTACCAGTACAAGCCCTCGTATGCGTCAGCCATAGCAGTATAAAGGTGCCTCAGACCAGTATGGGCTATTCCCCTTCCTTGTACAGGAATAGCTAGACCCGTATAAAGCACCTCTACACCAGTATAACCCACCTGGGTAGGCTGTACTTTACCTCTGACTATACAAGTAAAGTTGCACAATTTCATAGACAAGGCCTTGGTGTGTTAGGTCAGGCTTTAGCTACCAAGTTTTAATTAAGTGATCTTTCACATTTAGCAGTGAGAGCGGACAAGTTTTAACACCTTTAAAAAGAGAGGCGACCCCAGGGTTGAAGATGGCCAGCTCACTTCCCCCCTCCCTTTTTTTTTTTCTTAAGAGAACTTAATTAGAACAGATTAGCTGCCACACAAGGAACCCACAGATGCTTTTTCCTAGTCTAGACAAAGTCGGTGTCTCAGGGCTTGCCTGCACAAGAAATGTTTCCAGTTATATCTGAGGAGTTAAACTTCTATAGCCATACTGGGATAACTCCCCGCACAGACACTTTTAATCCAGAATAAGAGTAGCTTTCTCCAGTTTAGTTTGAACTCCTTCCAAAAGTGACATAAACTAAACCAGAAAAAGCCGCTCATATTCCAATTAGTGTCCATGCAGGGAGTTATATCATTAAAACTTTTAATGTTTTAAATTCACATTTTAGCTTAATGGTATAAATTTCCTGCGTAGACAAGCCCTGGCGCAAACCCCTCGGTGGACACTATGTTAACTTGATGTAAACATGGCTCTTGTCAGTTTAATATAGGCCATATTTGCACTCAGGAGTAGCCCTGACTGAGCATGCAGGATACCTGCCCCTCTGCTCCCCCCTAAGTGTTTGTGGCCCCATTGGAACTCAACTTAATTAGTTGCCAGTTAATTCAAGTTAGCTAGCACCTTTGTAAATGCTAATTTAGACACTGCACAAATTTTTGTGGTTTACTGTAGGGCTCTGCCTGGGGTACATCACAGCTGTGTGTGTCCTGGAACAAACATTTGCAGAGAGTATCTAAACTGTCATTTACAGAGGAGTTGGCTAAAATGAGTTAATTGCCAATTGTTACTTGAGTTATAACACAGCCATAAACTCCTCTCGCTACATACCCTAAGTGTAAACAAAGATATTCAGAGATTTGCACCAATTTTGCTAGTCAGGATTTAACCTTGCTTAAAATAAGGTAAACCCTGCTTCGCTGAAAGCCCCTGGCACGTGTTTGTCAACACTTAGGCTATATCTTCACTGCGGAGTGAGCTGGGGTGAATAGCAACTGAGTCAGCCATGCGCAGGTGTAAGCAGCCACACTGCGAAATCACACCAAAATCTACTGCGTCCTCACTGGGCCTGTGCTCCCCAGTGTGTCACCCAGACCTCTGGGGGCATATCACGTGGTTCCTTGTGCTGCAGTAAGAACTGTGTTCTTTGAGCTGCTCTAGGAATCTTTCCTAATGAATTGTGGGAGAACTTGTCTGTCCTTCTGGGCACCGAGAGCGAAATGTGAGAACTTTGAGCGAAATTAAGGACTATCCGTGCTTGAGTGGTTTAGCCTGCACCTTGGCTGCAATGTGGGTGTGTTACTGGCATGAGTGAAGGCAACACCTGAGATTTAACCCACACCCCCAGCCATGCCAGCTAGCCCAGGTTTAGAGCACCACCATCAAACCTGGGTCAGAACTTTTTGTGTGGACAGCAGGAGGGTTGGGGCAGCAGGCATGTAAGAACTCAAGTTAACTCTGATATGCCCTGAGGGGTCAGCACCGGTGCACTGCACTGAATGCTGAAATTGCCAGTTCCACACACCCAAACCCAGCTCCCACTTCAACACTGCAGAATTACTCATCTGCAGTGGTGGATTAGCCACTGGCCAATGGGACCCGGCCAATTGGGTGGTCCTGGAAAATTGCGTGTCCCCACACCCCGACCTGCTCCGCTGGTGCTCCTGTGCCGGGGAGCGGGGGAAGCCCCTGTGCCCCGATCCCACTCCCCAGCAGCAGTGCCGGGCAGGCAGGACAAGTCCCCGTTCCCTGGCAGGAGTACCAGGTAGGGTGGGGGGTGGAGGGACTGCAGGCTAAAGGGGTGGGGAGAGAGCCCCCACTTGGTTTGGCCCAGGGCCCCACAAAACCGTAATCTGCCTCGGCTCTTCTCGCTAGGTGACCGCCTGGAAGATATCCCAAGGATTGATATTATGAGATGCTAAAATGACCCCATTATTTTTCAGACTTACCCTGAAGAATAAACAGAGAGCCTGCGTGTATCCCAATGCACCATGGATCCAGCTATTGCTTCATAAGCTGATGCAGAGGTACTGTATATGCAGTAGCTAATCGCCACCTTCCAGTGGGCACCTTGAGAAAGAGGTGCAAGACTACACAGCAAAATAGTTTTGTTTCTCTGGCTCACCAGTTCATACTGAAAAACAGCCAGGGGTCTACAGGAGAGAGGGTGAGGAGTCTAATCATACGCAAGTCGCTTTTGCTGCCACTCGACATTCAGAAGAATCTAGCAATATATTATATTCTGCCACTTCAAATTCCCTTCCCCTGCAGAGACCAGCCCCTAGTGCTATTCTGCACCATTAACCCGCTGCTACGTTCTACACTTGGGGGAGCAGTATTTCGGGGGGGGGGCGTGCGGGGGGGGGGCTTGGAAGAGAAATAGCGTTATGCAAACACTCGGCATCGCCCAAGAGATGATTCATTTCAGAGAAGCTTGGAAATGGGGGCGTAAGACGTTTCGTTCCCGAACGTCTAGGCATCAGAAACAGGTGCCTGGATAATTAACCCACATTCCCCCCTATCACTACCGGCATTCAAACATCACAGGCCCCACAGTGGCAGGAACAGAGCGTGAACAGCCCCCCTGTTCAGAGACACTGTGAATTGCCATTTGCAATTTGCCGTAATTGACGCCTGGTTTGGATACTTTTAAGTAACTAAAAACAGTTGCTGCCTTATTTTCAAAAAAACAAAAACAAAAACAACTTTTTTTTTCTCCCCTCTCAAACCAGTAACAGCATCAGTGCAGTGCAAGTCCTGGACTGACTTTTCCCAGCAAAGGGAACCGAACAGAAGCCGGCTGACTGAGGGACTGAAATTCCTTTCCTGGAGGGCAACGGTTCACTGATTTCCCAACTACTATTACAACCTGCTATACTATTTTTTACTCTACTACGCATGTTTAAGGGCTGCAGTTTGAAACTCTATAGTTAGTTGTGATTGCCCTCGTCAACCTCAGGGGAAAGAGTGCGGATTTGCGCTGATTTTGATCGGAACAGTAAGCATGAACGCTGCCTTGTGAATGCTTAATGTTGCTATTGAGACACATACTGTGAAGAGCTTAGCTCCAAATATGTTGCGGGGAGGATTCGAGTGGACCCTCCCTATTCCTGCATAAGTTAACTATTGAATAATGAGTAAAGTGTACTACTGTACCCTACAGCATAGGGTAAAACTCCTCTTCTTCAGCTGTCAGTAAAAGCGCATCGCTTCCCTCCTGCTAGCTCGCACGCTGCTACTTGGCACCTCCTTTCAAGCTCTATGTAACTCTGTCTCCTGACCGCCTCTAATCATAGACCCTCAACTCCACCAGTGCTTCCACCCATTTGTCAACGTCTTGAACAACTGCCTCTGTGTCGTCTTCCACACGGCCCCCTAGGCATGGTATGACCTCTGAGTGTCCATCCGCCAGGCTGTAAGGATAAGGCCTGGGTCTGCAGCCATATTGCAAGGCCTTTGTCTGCAGCCATGTAAAAAGAGCAGCAGCCATTAGCTGAGAAGCAGGACGTCGCATCCTCACAGTCCATCTAAATTACATTAAAAAAAGGTAATATCAGGTTGTTGAGGAGACCGTGTCCTAATGGCCCCCACTATCACCAGATAAAGAAACAGATCTTAAGGTGGTTAAAGAAAACTTAGTTTGATGGCCTTATCAATAGCGGTGGTGGTGAAATCTGCTTTTCTTTCTTGTTTTGTCATTATGGTCCTCACTTCCCTATTGTTTGTCTGTATGATCTCTGTCCCGTTCTTTAATTGTTTCTGTCTGTTACAGCATTAATTTTGCTAGGTGTAAATTAATCAAGGTGGTGGGGTAGGATTGGTTAGAAAATTTTGTTAGGATTGTTTAGAAAAATTTTAGTTAAATAAGTGGTTAAGGTATAGCTAAGCAGGGCTCAAGTTTCTCTGTGTAAACTGGGTCTAAAAGGAAGTTCTTTGGGAACAAACTCCAGGACAAAACCCCAAGAACAGAGCTGCCAGACCTCAACACTCTGCCAGTGACACCATGCAGAAACTGGAGTCCCCAGATGGACCTGATTCTGACTGGCCCTCAAGTTCATCTGCCTGGCTGGGAGTGGTGAGCGCTGCATGTGTAGTGTGTGCATTCTGTTTTCGGTGCTTGCTCATAAATAGAGGATAAGGCTTTTTCACTGGTAAAAGGTCCTGCAAACCCACAGAAAATTACACCCTGAACCCTAGGAATTGGGTGAGGGTGGGTACTTCAATTGACAGGGTTACGCCCGAGCCCTAGGAATGGGGTAAGGGTGGGTGCCCTAGAGTGTGCGAGTAACAGAGAATTTTGTGCAGGTAACAGGCCCTAGCCTCTCTGCTTTTCAGTCCCTCTTAACTCACTTCTGCCATGCTGTCTATAGTGAATGTTGTAGATTTGTACAGAAACCCCCCCATCCCCACCCCAAACCCTTCCCTAATCTCTGTCAACCTGCCTCTTCTTAGACTGCATCTCCTTAGGACAGGGGCTATACCTTCTTGTAGCTCTAGAAAGAGCCTAAGGTATTGAGGCTACTACTGCAAACAATGGAGTATTGAGAGTCTTATTCAAGCAGTCACCCTGACCCACTTGAGTGTTAGTAAAACTCAAGGTAGACTAGCATTTCCACTACAGAACCCATTTTTCCAGATGACATGATTTGACTGTGTAAAACTTCTATGTGTAACAAACCCTGCTTCCACAGCCCTCATGTATGTTTCTGGTCTCTTCTGGCTCACACATAGATTAGTTACCTAAGTACAGGACGCAGCAGGGTAGAGGAGAGAAACCGAGGAGGCACCTCCTCTGATTGATCTTTGATCCTTGTCTGTGCTCCAGGAACTTTAGTTTCACCTGTGGGGTTAGTGGGGAAGGACTATTACCCTAGGCCAAGGGCCACCTTGTAAGAGAGACTTTTATGGACCAATGGCCCTTTCCCCCCACAAGTTGGTTCTGAGAACATCCTCTGGTGCCCAGCCAGGGAGGACTCCATGAATCACATCTGTGAGGCCCTGTTTTAAGGAGTAAGTATATGGTCAAGTGCTACTCCCTACCTTGCTCATACATGCCAGATGGCAGCAACAGGCTTTATTAAAAGGTAATACTCTTCATGGAGAAACTCTCTGCTTTCCCCCATTGCAAGTTTGAGTTCTCATTATTAGATCTCTGATTTACAGCAGGTTCTAACCAAGATCCCCATTGTGCTAAGTGTGGTACAAAACACAGAGTAAGACACAGTCCCTGTGTGCCCCAAGCAGTTTACAAAACAGAGGCATGGAGAGGGGAAGTCACTGCTGGTCAGTGGCAGCATAGAAAACAGCACCAGGTGTCCTGACTCCCAGTCCCAGTGGCCTATCCATGTTCTCGCTCCTGTGAATATTTATGTTCCATTCATTACCATGCTATTTGAGCCACCTGTTTGGGTAAGCAGAAACATATGTAGGATGCTGATCTGGATCAGTGCATTTCACTTCACAAAAGTCATTAGTGGTGGTACAGACTGCTATGCGATTACAACTCTGCTGTTACCAGATACAAAACTAGACTGGCTTCTCTTTTCCTTGAGTTGCCATTTCTGTTCTGATTGTATGGCATAATGTACAGTACAATTAAAGTGCAATCATTTATGCACTTGGTGGTTTCAGATTTGGTTCCACTGGGATTTCAAATGAAAACTTTGAAGAAAAACAAACATGCAGGTGAAGTTTCTTTAGGTAAAATTGCCTAAGGCAGCCACCTCATTCCAATGCAATTATTACTCCATAAGATGTAGTTCTAAATAAAAGCTCCCTATTTTATGAAAACAGCTGGGTACATGATCCTGCAAAACACACATTCCTTCCTCCCTCCCTCCCATTCAGCGAGAGTTTGTATTAAATCCTTTATCCATTACCTTGCTCAGCTGTATGTAGTAGATAACCCTAGTCCTACAGTTTCCTGAGGTCTAATCAAGGAGCTCTACATTTAATTAAGTCCTCTTTTTAAACGTTTTTTCCATTCATAACTCAAAAGTGACCGGCCACAAAAACTTCAATGTATATTTTAAACTCTCAGTCAACAACCATTAGGCTTCTATGTGAATTATTTCTCTTTCTTCCCCTTAAAAAGGGGATCACACCACAGGTTATTCTGTGGTTTTAAAGGAAACCTTTAAAGGAAACCCAGAACTTGGCCAAGATTTAACAAAAAAATATTTTGGATACGTAACCCGAGACACTTTAAAGGGGTCTGATTTTCAAGACGTGCTGCCCCCTGTGAAGAAAATCAGACCCTTTTAATATGTCTCAAGTTGAGCACCTAAAATCACCCATCACTTTTGAAAACCTTGACCAAGAGCGGGACTGGCCGCTATCCCAAGCCTTTGGCTATTCACTCTGTTGTTCCTTGTTGCTGGTATCTCAGACTTTCCCAGCCTTTGATTGAAGGTGGCAGGAACTGCCACAATAGTCACTTTCTTGTTACTCAGGACCGGCTCTGGGTACCAGCAAAGCAAGCATGGGCTCGGGGCGGCACAATTCCAGGGGCAGCATTCCGGCCCCCCCCCTTTTTTCTTCTTTTTTTGTTTGGGCAGTTGCGCTCTCGGAGCTTGGGATGGCAAATTTTTTGCTTGGGGCAGCAAAAAACCTAGAGCCGGCCCTACAGTTACTCCCCTCTGATCCCTGCTTTTTACAAGAGATCACCCAGCAGCACTACCAAAAGGAAAGTATAATTAGGCAGGCCAAAAAAGAACTTGAAGAGCAACTAGCAAAAGACTCAAAAACCAACAGCCTAAAAAAAAAATTTAAGTTCATCAGAAGCAGGAAGTCTGCGAAACCATCAGTGGGACCCTGGACGATTGAGGTGCTAAAGGAGCACTCAAGGAAGACAAGGCTGTTGTGATGAATTCTTTGCATTGGTCTTCACTGCAGAAGATGTAAGGGACATTTCCACACTTGAGCCATTCTTTTTAGGTGACAAATCTAAGGAACTGTCCTGGATTGCTGTGTCAGTAGAGGTGGTTTTGGAACAGATTGATAAAATAAACAGTAATAAGTCACCAGGAACAGATGGTATTCACCCAAGAGTTCTGAAGGAATTCAAATATAAAATTGCAGAACTACTAACTGTGGTATGTAACCTATCGCTTAAATCAGTTTCTCTATCAGATTACTGGAGGATAGCTAATGTGACTCCAGTTTTTAACAAATGCTCCAAAGGTGATCCTCGCAATTACAGGCTGGTAAGCCTTACTTCTGTACCAGGCAAATTGTTTGAAACTATAGTAAAGAACAGAATTATCAAACACATAGATGAACACAGTATGTTAGGGAAGAGTACACACAGCTTTTGTACAGGGAAATCATGCCTCATCAATGTATTAGAATTCTGAGGGGAGGTCAAAAAGCATTTGGAGAAGGGTGATCCAGGGGATCTAGTGTACTTAGACTTTCAGAAAGCCTTTGACAAGGGCCTTCACCAATGCTCTTAAGTAAACTAAGCAGTCATGGGATAAGAAGGAAGGTCCTCTCATAGATCAGTAACTGGTTAAATGACAGGAAACAAAAGGTAGGACTAAATGGTCAGTTTTCAGAATGGAGAGACAAACCACAGTGTCCCCAGGGATCTGCAGTGGGACCAGTGCTGTTCAATATATTCATAAATTATCTGGAAAAAGGGTTAAACAGTGAGGTAGCAAAGTTTGCAGATGAAACAAAATTACTCGAGATTGCAGGCAGTTTTGGACTTAACTAAGTTACAAGTTCACTAAACTGGGTGACTGGGAAACAAAATTGCAGATGAA